TTGGAGGATCAAGACACATTCCCTGTTTTTTTTTTTTTTTTTTTTTTTTCCTTCCCTTTTTTTGGAGAAAACAGGTCTCACTCAGGCCTTCTCCTCCCGCTCAAGGAGACCAGATCCCCAGTCAATGCTTCAACGATGCTGCCCAACCTCCACCATGCCACATGCATTCCATGCAAGTCCACCCCCTTCATGCCCACTTCCTTTTGATGATCCGCATATCGTTAATTACCCCCCCCTTTGGGCATTTACCTTCGACGTTCCTGACCGCAATTTCGGTACTACTTTTTTTTTTTTTTTTTAACCACCAGTACCTCCGAGCCTGTTTTTGCCGGCCTTGAATTTCACTGCGTTCCGAGTTTGCCGAGCCTGGGTACCACCTGTCTTTTATACACATCTAGATGTGTATAAGAGACAGCTCTAACGGAAAAAAAAAAAAAAAAAAAAAAAAAAAAAAGTTGCGGCCGTGTACTCAGAAAAAAAAAAGAAGGAAACAATGATCTGGCCGTGATTGCAGTTGTATACATTCTTGGAAGTGGTAGTGTGAGTGTGCCCTCAATGAGTTGTCAGATTCCAAAAACACAAAAAACAAAAAAAAACAAAAAAACAGAAACACGTATTCGGCCGTGAAAATGGCTGGATACGTTCCTCTAAGTGCCAGTGTGATGAGGGTTACATTCCTCTGAGGGAACACAGCCCGAGCAGATCACGGATTCAGATTGTCAAATTCCAAAAATATAAAAAAAATAAAAAAATAAAAAAAATGGAAATACGCATTGGGCCGTGAAAACGGCTGGATACATCAGGGTTACAATCCTTTGACGAAACACAGCCAGAGCAGATCAGGGATTGGGGACTCATAATAAACAAATGAGAAATAAAAAAAAGAAAACAACAAGTTTCACAATGTGATCGACTTTGCTGTAGGATGCATTCCCTAGAGGAAGACTGTGAGCACGGGCTCCTATACTACCCTGCCGGACATCATTGCAGTGCATAAGTTTTTTTTTTTTCCTTTTTCTTTCACGCGCAGGCAAAATAAAATTAAGATTTATGGGACTCGCCTACCCTGGGCCCCACCACGAATTTCTTGGGGGACAGACCAATACATTGTAATTTCCCAACACTGGCAGGGGTCCTGGTGGTTTAAACCGAAATCATAGTCACGGCTTACCATGTTCCCGCCAATAGGACCTGACGATTTCGGTTAAAAAAAAAAAAAAAAAAAAAAAAAAAAAGGCCGAAATTGAGGCCAGAAACATCAAAATTAAATGCCCAAAGGAGTAATTGATTGCTTGATTGCTTGCTTGNAAATTGAGGCCAGAAACATCAAAATTAAATGCCCAAAGGAGTAATTGATTGCTTGATTGCTTGCTTGATTGCTTGCTTGATTGCTTGATTGCTTGCTTGCTTGCTTGCTTGCTTGCTTGATTGATTGATTGATCACGTGGCCTCATGAAGAAATCGGGTGATTCATTCCACTTCATCATGCCAACAGAAAAATTATCGCTGACTTCCAACTTATTTTCGTTGCGCTGTCGAACTTATGCACGCCGCAAAGGCTGTGACCAATTTTTGAATGAGGGTCTTCTGCTGTGTTCAACTAGTTATCAACATGATCAACTTTTTTTCAACGGGTCGAACATGCTCTCCAACAGGTTTCCAACTTTTAGTGACCGACTCCAACATGGTTTCGTACAGGCTTCCAACATAAACCAACACGTTTCCAACATGGTTTCGTACTGTGGGCCAGTACTGCGACAATGCGTTCTGTTGTGGTGTTATTTGGCCCTCACTAAGGGAATTATTTTTATATCGCAGTGTCTTTTGTCGGTGTTCCAATTTCGACTACCTGGGATGTACTTGATCGTTTTGTTGTGGTCGTCGACAACTGGGGAGTGACGTTGAACATTGTGAACTTCAACATACTTTGGCTGAAATCTTGCCCGCCGGGCAGACCGCCGCTATTTGAATTTGCGTGGGGTTTGTGCGCCGCTGGGGCCCCGTATAGATATATATGTTATTAAACGATGGGTATTTTGGTTGCCGTACAACCAATGCAATTGCCTCATGAATCTGGACATGGCGGCCTGAAATTAATTTTTTATTTTGTCATTACACTATTACGGGGAACCCAGCAGCAGGCGGGCGACACAAGGCACGGGTCAGGCACTTCAATCAAAACTGAACTGCCCAGTCCCCATGTCACTGTGCCTCCTCTCTGGTCGCCTCCCCCTTTGAACATCAGCAATCTCTTGTCAGTGGCAGTTGGGGGGACCAACAGCATATCTCAATGTTGCGGGCGCCAGACTTTGGCGAGGATGGTGTGTGAGGCCAATGGGGATTGAACCCGAGACCACATGAAATCCACTTGCCTGCCTCACCAACTGCGATAGGCCGGTGGATCGAGGGCCCCGTATCAACAACTGGTGTGGTGCACAAGAAACGGCAGTGAAAACAAAGGCGCGGCCAGTGTTTTTTTTTGGGTGTAACCTCGGCGCAGTCACGAAAACAGTTTGTAATTGCACTTGGGCCAATCCCCCAAATACAACCCCCCCCCCCCCCCCCCC